ATGGTGTAATCATCGTCAACAAACCTGGTGGTGGACGCATCAAGGTAACCCGTGAACGTCATTTTGCTAGATTATCTGAACTAAAGTTTAATGAATGATTTCGGACATTTTGAACTGTGATGCATAAAGCTTTATCTTAATTTTCTACTTTTGCTCGTTAAATATTATTATTGATTTCATGTATGTTCGTTTCAATACTGCATTCTGTTTAAAATGCGCTGTACTATTTGTTATAAGTGCACAAAAAAGAATCAATCCATATATGCTTGTTCATGTGAAAGTATTTGTCATGTGACATGTGCTAAAGCAGAATCATTTGCATTACCCTGGATATGCCAACCTTGTTTAAGTAAAGCAATTCCTTTTAATCACATAGTTGATGATTTAGACTTTAAGTTCGCTATTCATACCTTTTTTTCAAATAGACCACCCTTCATTTCATAATAGAAGTCACGATGATTTACAATTTGATATTTTCTCCCTGAATGAAGTGATGAGTTCCCGGTTAGATGACCATATTTCTGATTGTAATTATTATTTCAATGACACCTTCAATGTTAAAATTAATAATCGAAAATCAGAAAGTCAATTTGTATTGTTCCACTTGAATGCTCGAAGTCTTATTTCAAAGTTTTCTCATGTTCAAGATTAAATACATACACTTCACCACGACTTCACAATATACGCATTTACGGAAACCTGGTTTAAGGGAGACCCACATTCATTTTATAGTTTGCCTAATTACAAACTTATTCAAAAACATAGAATTGGTCGTGTAGGCGGGGGTGTGTGTATGTACGTCAGAGACAATGTCACCTTCAAACCAAGGACGGATTTGGATTTTTGTACTTCAACTATAGATACTGTTTTTATTGAAATCGTAAAGGAAGGGAAGAATTTAATCGTTGGAACTGTATAAAAAATCTCCCGATACTTGTGGTGCAGAGTTTAATGACCATCTTGAAGAATGTCTTGGTAAAGTTAACAAAGAGAATAAACAATGTTATATTGCTGGAGACTTTAACTTTGATTTACTTAGTTACGCCCTTCATTCGGATACCAATGCATTTATCGATAAAATGTACTCCTCTTTTCTCCCACTTATCACGAAACCAACCCGTTTAACAACTAACTCATCTACTTGTATTGATAATATCTTTACGAATGTTTTGAATAAGCCAATCCTGCCTGGTATTTTGTATTCAGATGTGTCTGATCACTTTCCCATCTTTCAAGTAACGAACTCTTTACCACCAAATCACCACACCCACTTGAATAGGAACAATGCGAGTCAAGTTAAACACCGAATAAACTTAAACTCATTGTGTGAAGATTTAGCATTGTATGATTGGTCCTTGGTAACATCCAAAACCAATGTCAACGAAGCTTACGATACCTTTATTCAAGATTTTAAAAAGATGATTTCAAAGCATTCGGAAACAATACCTGGTAAGGATAGACGTAGATCATCAAAAAACCATGGATTACGAAAGGCATTCTTAAATCCATTGGTAGAAAGGAACGCTTGTATAAGCGGTATTTAAAACTGAAAAACCCCTCCGTGAAGAAAAAGTATACATCTTTCAGAAATAGGCTTACTCACATTATACGTGTCTCTAAAAAGAACTACTTTGCTGAAAATCTTGAATCAAATCGCCACGATTTAAAGAATACTTGGAAAACTCTGAACAACCTGCTTGGTAAAGATAGTAAATCGAAATTACCCTTATTCATTCGTAGAGATGGTGTAACGCTTACTGAACCAAAAGCAATTGCAAATGCATTTAACTCGTTTTTCGTTAATGCTGGTTGTTTTGATGATCCCCAGACCCCAGATGCTTTCGTGACTATTTGAAAACCAGCGTAACACATTCTTTGTTTCTTTCACCAACAGATCGAAATGAGATCTTGAAGTTATCCTCCTCCTTGAAAAATAAACACTCATGTGGGGTGGATGATATGTCACCATACGTTATAAAGAAGTTAATTTCTTATATTGTTGAACCTTTAACCCATGTGTTTAATTCATCATTTATGTCTGGAACATTTCCTGAATCAATGAAAGTTTCAAAAGTCATACCTTTATTTAAAAAAGGTGATATACATGATTTATCGAACTATCGCCCAATATCATTGCTTTCGACTTTTTCCAAGATTTTAGAAAGACTAATGTACAATCGATTATTTACTTTCCTTCATAAGCATTCATTTATTTTTTCGGAACAGTTTGGGTTTCGAAAATGTTATTCAACAGAGTCAGTTTTACTTTTTGCATCCGAACTTTTGTACAAATTTTATGAAAAGAAAGAGATAGCTTTAGGAGTGTATGTATACCTTAGCAAGGCATTCGATTGTTTGGATCACAAAATCTTATTAAGAAAACTAAGTTTTTATGGAATTAGAGGCATTCCATTAGAATGGTTCCAAAGTTATCTGTCTAATAGAACAAAATATAATGAATCTGACTCTGAATTGCTATTAATGAAGCAAGGTGTTCCTCAAGGTAGTATCTTGGGCCCGTTATTATTATTGCTCTTCATAAATGACATTGTTGAGTCTTCAAGGAAATAACATTATGTACTGTATGCCGATGACACAAACATCTTCTATTCTGGTAAAAATTTGAAAGACTTAATTTTCGAAGCCAATGTTGAACTTCAAAAGGTTGCTAGCTGGTTTTCAGCAAATAATCTAAAAATTAATCAGACCAAAACAAACTTCATGATATTTAACTTTGGCAAAAAGAATGATACTTTAATTGAAAATGTTAATCTAACAATAGATGGTAACTGTATTGAACAGGTATAATTTGCAAATTTTTTAGGAGTTGGCATTGACAACAAACTTACATGGGCAAAACACATTGAATTAATTTCCAGGAAGATTCGGTCCCAAGTCGGTGTAATGAATAAGCTCAAAAGTTTTCTACCATCCTCTACCATGCTTTCTCTATACTAAACCCTCATATATCCTTATATCAAACTTCAAAAGCGGGCTGTTCGGTTGTGCTGCAACGCTTCCTTCAGGGCGCACACCTCTTCATTATTTAAATCCTTAAATTTACTCAAACTTCCAGATATTCTTTCTCAACCGACTTTATTATATATGTACAAACTCCAAAATGATTTGCTACCAGTAACGTTTTATGACAGTTTTCATTTGAACTCGGATGTCCACTCCTTTAATACAAGAAGAAGAAAAAAGACTTCCGTCTACCAAAATTCACTTTCTCATTTTTGCAAAATAAATCAATTAGATATCAAGGTCCTCACAAATGGAACTCCATGTCAAGTTATTTAAAGGGTATTAAGAACCACAACGCATTTAAACTTAAACTGAAAAGAACAGTACTTGCCACTTATTGATATATTGAAATACATAATTGATTCATATATTTTGTAAGCATGTAACATTATTATTATTATTATTATTATTATTATTATTATTATTATTATTATTATTGTATTGTATCGTATTTCATCGTATTGTATTGTATAGTATATGTATGTTTTTATGTTTGGGGTTGCTTGTTTACAAGTTTTTAACTTATTTTAGCAATCCCGGTATTTATAATGATTTCATTTGTAATGATTTCATTTTGATGTTTTTAATCTTTTGCCGAATAAATGTGAATTTGAATTTGAAATTGTTTGTCAAAGAAATGTGTATGTTTAGATACAAGATTTAAGTCCAGCATTTATGCAAGTTTTTGTTATGGTATAAAATTGTTCATTACAAGTTAAATGCTCCTTGCATAAATATGGCAGCACAACTAATGTTTGATAATGTCCCTCAGTTGGACTCAGGGTATAAATTTGAAGATTGGACTGAGGTTCTTGAGTCATGGTTTATAGCTAATGATATCACAGCAGATGAAAAGAAGAAGGGTATATTCTTGTCAGGATTAGGAAGTATACACATGATGCACAGGTTTGAATGCGTCGGTAGGGATTGTGTGCACAAGGTACCTTTGAATGGTTTTAGACCAAATTTAAAGGTACCACGTGCACACAATTCCACCAACCCACGAATTAAATCTGTGCATCATCTGTTTTATAACATGGGGCTCTCAACATTGTCAAAAATACAACATTTTGTTATTTTACCTTTTACCGGATGCATGGCAAAATCATGCTTTCCGGTAGTACCGGACGCATGATTTTGCATAATTTGTCTGTTCTTAGTGCAATGGATTAAAACAAATGTAGAATGACTAAGGCCTAAACCTTAACAAAATAAAGTCGGGCCTCACTGACCTTAACATGAAACCTTAACAAAAGAAAGTTATTAAATCAATAAAACCTTATTTTGCAAGCTTTTTTGAGTTTTGGGAATGTGCAGTCTAAATTAGAAGAGGTCTGGATCTTGTCCAAATCAATTACAGATATTGAGACTGTCCATCATCCTTGGTCTGAATAAATTTCATAGATACTTACATGAAAGGAAATTCACTATAGTCACAGATCACAAGCCCTTACTTGGCTAATTTGGAGACAAGCCAGCAAGCCCGATGGCCTCAGCAAGACTGTCGAGATCTGACACATGATCATGTCAACGTATGATTACACCCAGGCGCGTACGCAGGGGGTGGTTTTGGGGTTAAACCCCCCTCGAGTTTTTTTTATGTGTATGTTTTATGTATGTTTTTTTGGAAAACCCCCCCTTTTGATTTTAAAACCCCCCCTTGAAAAAAATCCTGCGTACGCCACTGATTACACCATTGTATACAAGGAAGGCAAGAGACACCAGAATGCCGATGGATTGTCCAGATTACTAATGCCTTCAACTGATGGAAGTAAATGGCCAAATGAGGACTTAGCAGAATTGAGTGATCTGCAGCCAGGAAGAGTCAACGTGTTGTTTGACATAGACTCTCGACCAGTTGATGCGAGTGAAGTGAAACAAAAAACTGACAAGGACCCAATATTGCAAAAGGTCAAACATAACGTTATGCAAGGATGTCAAACATAACGTTATGCAAGGATGTCAAACATAACGCTATGCAAGGATGGCCAAGTTCCAGGAATTTAGATGATGAAGTTCGCCCATTTGCTCGGAAGAAAACAGAGTTGACTATAGAAGATGATGTTCTTCTATGGGGACAAAGAGTTGTCATACCCCAGGATCCTGATATGCGTACCAGGATAGTAGATGAGCTTCACGCTACACATCCAGACATAGTCAAGATGAAAGCCCTAGCTCGATCTTTTGTTTGGTGGCCCGGAATAGACAGATGCTTAGAGCAGAAGGTTCGTACGTGTTCAGTGTGCCAGGAACATCAGAACAACCCTCAAGCAGCTCCTATTCATCCTTGGGAGTTCCCAGAGAGACCGTGGATGAGAATACACATCGATTACCCCTCAATTGAGAACCAAGATGTTCTGATAGTCGTAGATGCACATTGCAAATGGATATAAGCTGTTAGAGTTCCTAATGCAACCGCTTCTGCCACAGTAACTGCTATGAGACGCCTATTTGCTACACATGGGATTCCGGAAACGTTGGTTAGTGACAATGGAATTCAAGTCATCTCAGAAGAATTTACCAAATTTCTCACTGACAACAACATAGAACATATGTGCAAACTGCCCTCACCACCCATCAAGTAATGGCTTAGCAGAGAGAGATGTTCAGATAGTAAAGAGGTGTTAAGAAAACAAGTGGAAATAATTTGGAGATGCGAGAATCCAAAAATTCTTAATGACATACTGGATCACAACCCATGAAACCACCGGTACATGCCCAAGTATATTTGTAAAGCGCTATATAAAAATTAAATATTATTATTATTAAGTGAACTTCTGTACAAGAGAAGGATTGGGAGCAGATTAGATCAAGTCCGTCCAGAATTGACGAAGACTGTGAAACGAAAACAATCTGCCATGAGACAGAGGTGAGACAAAAGGACCAAGATAGACGTTAAAACATTCAAGACCATGTACTAGTAAAGAACTACACTTCCGGTCAAACATGGTTATATGGTCAAGTACCCGAGTTACTCAGTGAGTCAATGTATATTGTAAAATCATATCAGAGGTTACATTCCTGCTCAGCAAGTTGAAACTCCATCTCATGAACTTAATCCGGTTGAAGATGTTCCAAGGCCAAGCATTCAACACATTCCGGATAATGGAGTTCCTTCTGAGAATGTAATACCTTCCCCAGTTGAAACCTTGTCAGGCCCTAGACAAGAGTCGCATGAAAGTCATGATGTTACCCCTACAGTTTCAATCCCTAAAAGTGACACACAAGAAACTGCAAGAAGAGTTTCACAAAGAAACACAAAAAACACCTGCAAAATATGATGATTTTATTATTTATCAGTAGGTTAAAAGCACATTCCAGAAAAGCAATTCAGTTTTGGATTATATATTACTTTCACAGTTGTAACTCACATAATTTGATTAATGTTTATAATGCGTATACTATCAGAAATATGGTAAAACATAACAGACAGTCATCCGGTATAGAAGTGACTGATACAAAATAGGATGGTACAAATCTATTTCGTCCAAGAAATATTTTGCAAGATAGTTGTATTTATGCCAAGTGAAACTATTGTAGATCAAACTTTATTTTTGTGTGTGGGTTAAACATGTTTTCATACTTCGGTATTGCATTAGTCTGCAAAAGTGCAACAGGTATTGTTTATGTGTTACATAATTCAGGCAATGATCAAAAGGAAAACAAAAGTTTTTCCTTAGCGATGAAAGCTAATTTGGTGCATTCATCACAGGTGTTGATGTTTTAAAAAGTAACAGTATAAATTGTTCAACATTTTATCCGAAATACTACATGTATTTTCATGGAGAAAATGTCACTTATTTTGGTCTGTTCATTATTATGCCAGGAGAAGTTAGTTGATAAAGTTTGGATCCAATCAGTTTTTGTATTAAAGTACAAGGATTTTATTTAATTGTTTTGCCATGTAAAGTTATCATGCATAAAGTAATGCTGTTGACTACTTTCAAGGAGGAAAATTGTTGTTCCTTAGGTGTCAAACAACCTTCAAGTAAAACTTAGATTAGTTAATATAGGTTGATATACCAGTGGAAATTTTGTGTTGTGGTACTTACATGCATCAAAGCAATGTTGCTAGTTTATGTTATACATGGGATAGGATTTTTTGTAATAGAATCAAGTTGTGCGAGTACATTCCTGACATGCTAATGTCACATCTCTATGCAAACACTTTTTGAGAAAATTAGACCATATTGTTATATAGTCCTGCCCTAGTCTGCATGCCAGTTTGATACATGTATTTCGTTTTGATGTACCCATGTAATTCACTAAAAGGGGAAGGAATGTATGTATGACTTCTGAAAATAAGACTATGCATGTCTTGACTTGTCAGTTTATGTATACGCACGCATTGTACAGCGCGCAGTTTCCTTCGATGCCTTTATCGAATAAAGTCCATGCTACAACCATTTAGTGTAAAAGTTACGAATAAGTCTTTATTTGTCATCTTTATTTGGCTGAACATCAACCTTGAATATTGACAGAACATAATATGGTCAAAGCAATTGCCTCCCATCCTGGCGACCCATATTTGATTCCCGGTAGTAATTTTTTTTGTTTTTTTGCTTTCGTTTTATATTTAATCTTATCGTTGATACTAAGCTGAAACTTGACATAAAGGTAAAACATGACGGGTGGAGCATTTAATGAAATAAGATGAAATTGTGAAAATGCATTCTTCATTATGTTGATAAGGGTCAAAAGTGTATCTGCTTATTGTACAGGGTCAATGATCATATTGTCTCTCTATCTATCTTCCATATAGATCCATAATGATCAATGCTACACATGCAGTTGAAACTTGACATATGGATAGAACTTAATGATAGGAGCATTTTATAAGATATGTAATCTTAAAGATGAATTCTTCAATATGTTTATTTGAGGAAACGTATCACCTAATTCGTCTAAGTGACGAATTAAAGTCTAGTTTCATATTGGGTCATTGAAATGATTGTGGTTGTGAAACAAAACAAAAAAGGGATTAAGCAGATGGAGGATAGATTCTTGCAGAGATGTAAACTTGATTTACTTTCATATCATTTGGTGTACATGTCAAGACAACTTCAACTTAGGGATTATGTTACGTTATGTATTTCTTTGTATTTTAGCTTTGGCTTTTTGGGTCGCAAAATTTGAAAATTTGGCCGATCGATATTTCGTCTCTTTGGGGGGGGGGGGGGAGGAGGGTTAAGATCAGCTTTTCGGGTCACCTATTACCACAATTATTTTTTTTAATAAAAAAAAATTAATTAATTACAAAAAAACAAAAGGGGGGAGGGAGGTTTTCCTCCAAAACATACACATACAAAAGTTAAAGGTGGGGGGGGGGGGGGGGGGTAAACCCCCAAATCCCCCCCCCCCTGCGTACGCGCCTGCATCTTACAATACAAATCACACCTACCCTGTGGCCTCTCACAGATGTATGGTCTTTGACCCGGACACGGGATATCATTCCACTTCCCATGATATTCAACGGAAGGGTGCGTGTACATGCAGGCGCAGTCTTCTATCCCAAGGGAATCGTTTGGTTCTGATGGAGCCCATGAAGACTCAGTTCTTCTATTATACCAAATGGTTGATTTGGAAACAATGAATATAAAAGATAATCATCGTTCAGTATCACAAGGCATTTCTTTCAACACATTTATCTCAATGGCAATATATTTTATACTGATTGCACAAAGTATCTGTAGAAGAACCATGCCATGAGGAAATGCATGAGAAATCTGACAGTAAGCCCAATTATTGTACCCCGGTATTGTACTCACTAATCCTTAAAGTGAAACCAAAAAAAAAAAAAATTTCGATGAAGCTATAATTGCATGTAATATGACTATGAAATATGTGTTTGTCATTAATAAAAAAGAAAAAGAAAAAAGAAGTAGAAATTCGATAGAAAATAAGAAGAACAATTTGAAATCACCTTTCCAGAGTGTCATCTAGCCATACAAAATTGCCACCGTTTTCTCGTCTAAGTCCAAACAAATAGCAAGCGCTTGATGGGTTCGAAGTTGATATGATTTCTGCCAGGAAACTCTTGACAAGATACCGTGGGGAAAGAGGACAAAACAATGATAAACGGAGGGAACAAAGATTCTTTTTTCCCCTCTCGTCTGAAAATAATATCCTTAACGTTGTCAAAAGTCAGTAGGCCTACTTACGACATAGTTTGCCATTAATGGAAAGTTCCTGTTGAAAGAAGCGTTTTCACGAATAACATTTATATGACATCATCAAATGATATGCAACCAGGCGCGTACGCAGGGGGGGGGGGGGGGTTAAACACCCCCTTTGTTGTTTTTATGTGTGTATTTTTTAACAAAAAAAAATTATGGCAATGGCTGACCTAAAAAAAGTGACCTAACCCCCCCCCCCCTACAGAGCAAAATATCAAATGTTCAAATTTCGAGACCAAAAAAAAAAAAGAAAAAAGTGTCCTCTTACCACCCCCCACCCAACCCCCCTCCCTCCCCCGCTTATTCAGCGGCTGGCTGAGTCTTTGCGAAATTTTAGGCCCGATTTCAAAATGTTAACCCCCCCCCCCCTGCGTAAATCCTGCGTACGCCACTTTATGCAACAATATGAACATGTTTTTGATATACGTTTTTCAAATGTAGGCTTAAAGCTTATAGCTCCTGTTTAAAAAACTATTATAAGCCGGGTTATATTATCATATTATGGTTTATATAACCTATGGCTAAAGAGAGTTCCCCAGTGCCGTGACCTGTTAAAATGATTATGTATGCTCCTTTTCAATGAAAATAAAATTGAATGATATAACTCATACAGGTGAAAGCGTAGGGTTATTTTCTCTTACATTAATTTCCTCTGATTTGATTATGGCCAGGTCACCGCCATTGCTCATGCAGTTTGCTCTTGCATCTTCAAAGGATCGTGCTTCTCCGTAGAACCGATATGACGATTGGCCGAAACGATGCCACGAAAAACGAGAATCTGGCGATGTAAATATGACACAGGTATAATTCAATTTTCTCATTTAAAAATAAAATAAAATATTACTTTGTATTATTGGGCTGTTTGTTAGGTGATACGTACGGTACGTAGTACGTATCACCTTTTGATTTCGTCAAGATGTGTAATATTAGGTTATACGTACGGTACGTAGTACGTATCACCTTTTGATTTCGTCAAGATTGTTATTATTGGGTTATACGTACGGTACGTATACGTATCACCTTTTGAATTCAAGATTTGTATTATTATTAGGTTATCATGACGTCATCCAAGCGCCAATTTGTGAAAATCAAATGAGAACGCATTTATGATGATATATAAATGCGTTCATAACTTAGCACCTTCTTACCTTCAGGTAGGCTTAATCAATCCTAATGATGTACATGAGCATCATACAAGGCAAATAGACAGTGGATGTTTACGTGTGCCTAGATTTCACACTAATTGTTATAAGTGTAGCCCAATTGTTTCTTCCATATTTGAATGGAATAAGCTAGATAATTCATTGAGAACGGCTTCCTCTGTCAATTCATTTAAGAGATTGTTTAAACAAAGTTGTAATTTGTGAATGGCTCAGCCGTACATTCACTACGTGCATGTTCTGTAATATTTACATGACTTATTCACATAATTGCGACTTAATTAATATTTTCCTATTGACATTACTGTTTACTAGGTTGATGATTATATTTATTTTGCAAACGAGTTTTATTTTTGTAACTGTTCTGTATAAATGTTATAAACGATGTAAATATGTTCATTCAGGGCCCCATGGAAGACCACTACTTGTTGGTGAATGGGCTACCCTGTCAAAATATTAGAAATAAATAAAAATAAATAAATAAAATTATATCTTCATAACGGAAGGGCATTTCTCATTCATATTTATCATGATCAAAGTCGATATCCGTCCGGTCAATTTCCGATAAAAAAACGCGAGCGTATAGCCCACGTCTATGTGTAAACGCACGCGAAAAAAATTAAATGTCGTCTCAAAGTCATTTTTACGATTAAGGTCATTTTGAGCATATTTCAAAAGATCTCGTACACGCACATGCGCGCGCGTTTTCGTTCGTCATGTCTGTACACATCATAGAATCGACATTCCTTTTTCTTTCATTATATTTTCCATACTTTTCCGAACAATTTATACCATGTTTTTATCTTTATGACCATTAATAACGAAATGAGTGTCCGTTCAAGATAAATGTCCGTCCGCGCGAGCATATCATATATGGTCAAAAAATGCCTATAAAAAGTCCATTATAGCTCTTTGGTATGCTTGGGGACCGTCATTTTGAGTCGGAGATATGATGTCACGTCTCATTTTATCGTGGCATTATCATAATAGCCCTGGCACTCCATATACGAATTTGCATTATTATGACGTCAGCATATTTATGGGAAATTGAGTATACATGTATCTCTCTATATAGATGATTATCGTTTTACACTCAATTTGTAATATGTTGTAGCTAAGAACATTTTCTACAAATTCAACAGCCATCATTTATAATTTTGATGACGTCATCATAGTGAAAATTGCGATTAAATATTACATGTCAATATTATATTAATTACGTGTTATGCCTATGGAAGGTGAATTTCGTTAACATCATGAATCTACATGACATTGTCCTTTGAGCAGTATCTCGCTTATTCTTGCTCTTATTTCTCCAGAATTGTGGTATGTTATAGCTGAGACTACGGGTTATAGATACATGTTTTTTTTTTTTTTTTATCTTGTTCAGATGTTATCATTATGTCGAAATTTAAAATTGAAAGTTGAATTACAAACTCTGTAGAACTTTGCAGAAATTATGAATATGTCACGTATGTCCCATCTGTGAAATTTAAACGTCAGCAGTGTCCTAGTATGCCTATTCAAATCATACAAGGAAACCCGTTTACTTTCTAGACTTTACTGTATATACTGTCAGCCACTATTGAGTAAATTAATGACCTCTTTTTTTCTGGTAATAAGTATACATAAATAAAATGAGCTTCAAAGGGAAGCCTTTACAGTCATGTACATGCGCATTTGTCTACATCAACCCATATCTTGTAATGGCCTAAAATGAACTGATTGAATCTCTACGCAGCACAATACAGTGCGTCCCAGAAAAAACGAAACCGAGAATTATCGATGTTTTATCTTAACTTAATCACAATAATAATTGATAAATGACACATATTTGGAAAGCTTAGATAATCGTCTTTCATTTGATGCAACCATGTACGACCATGCATTATGGCTCAAGGCATGGGCACACAGATTTTTTTCTGTTGGGGACCGAGAGGAAATTCAATGAATTATTGAAAATTTATTGCATTTTATTATTATAATTTTTTTTAAATTGTGGTAACTGCCCTCTACCCTAGCCCCGGCTGCGTACATTCATGGTTCAGTGGCCAAGCAATGGCCTCGAAACTGTGAGGCCCCATGATCAAAACCGTGTCGATATGCAATATTAGTGCCTTTTGTGGGGCATTAATCCCCATTACTGTCATTTATGACTTAAGGGCGTAGGTCCCAAAGTTGATAAGCATAGTAGCATACACATGCTTTAGCAGTCACGCAAAACAAACACTGGCAAATTATCATTCAATAAAATCTGAGAATGTATACTATTGTTTAGATCTATTAGGAATAAATCAGTGTCAAAATAATTCCATAAATTGGGGTAAAAAAAAATATTCCAACTATATGAGCGATAGTGTAGATGTGAATGTTGTAATGACTAACAACCTTCTTTTATTATTCTTATTTGTTCATCGTCTCCAGACTCTATAATGCCATTAGAAAAATATTTGAGTCACAATGTAGAGTCACACTCACAGTGCAGATAAATTATTTTCAGTACCAGGTCTAATAATTTAAAGAAAACTGAATTTAAACCTGGGCTATTCTTTCTCTCTCTTTTGTCATTGCCTTCCTTTTCTCCCTTTTACTTCCTTTTCACCCCGGAGTATGATACAAACATTGAGAATATAATCACTTAAAAGGGTAAGCTTTAAGACAATAATTTATGACATGTTCTCTATTGTCATGATTGAGACAGAGCCTAGAGCTAACTAGCTCACTGGAGTGATTGCCTCGTCGAGATTAGTGATTTTTTCAAAAACACTAACTCGCACTAAATCTTGAAAAAATTGTGTCAAAGGGGATTTTAACACGATCGCAAAGAATTTTAAGAAATCAATTTAAAATGGCAATTGCAATACCCTATTACAGGGCTCCTCTTATTCTGGACCGCCCAGGAGGCTCTGTTTTTCAAAATCCTAAAAGGGTAGGGAGTAGAATCCACCCGGTCCCCTATCTTTTGATATCAACATTTGCATCAATGCCTTCGTCTTCCATTAGTCTATTTGCGCCAACGTTTACTGGTTAAAGCAGCTTATTGCCGGGAAACAGAGCCCCCTTTCCCACTGATAAACCTGCATACCAGAACTTCAGCTGTTGACTGTCTTATCTCTCGAAATTAAGGTGCGTGTATAAAAGCACGTATGTATAATATCACATACATAATTTAAATCATTGATTAATTCAAACTAAATTTGCCCATTGTTTCAGACCTTTTAGCTTCCACGGAAATCACATCTGGTCTGTCAAGGAAAAAGTTTAAGAACCCCTACTCTACATGCATACGAGAACTTCCACTTTTGACTGTATTATCTCTTGAAATTAAGGTACGTGTAAAAGACACCTATGTTTAACATCACATACATCGTAAAAATCATAGATTAGGTCAAACTAAATTTGCCCATTGTTTCAGACCTTTTAGCTTCCACGGAAATCACATCTGGTCTGTCAAGGAAAAAGTTTGAGAACCCCTGCCTTACATGCATACCAGAATTTCCACTTTTGAAGTTGATATAACTCTTGAAACTAAGGTATGTGTAAAGAGACACGTATGTAAAATATAACATACATAATGTAAGAAGTTGATTAAGTAAACTAAATTTGCCCATTAATTCGGACCTCTTAGCTTTCATGGAAATCACATTTGGACTGCAAAGCAAAAAAAATTGAGAACCACTGCACAAAAATCATGTCCGATTCACCCAATTCATCATTTCAAAAGTTCGAATATTTCAAAAGGTAGCGGACAATGCTAATGAAATACCATAAGGTTTTGCGATCGTGATTTTTTAAATTTTAAATGTTTTTAACTCATGACCGAAATGTAAAACATTTTTTGAATTTGAATTTGCATCTGAAGTGAATTTAAGTTTTCATTTTAATATGAGTTTTGGTTTAAGTTTGAACTTGGAATATGAATTAAAATTTAAATCTAGATTATTTCACCTGTAAGATATCAATGGATAAGTAGGAAAAATACCATCAGTAGTAAATCATAATACAACTATAATACAAGCGAGGCAGTCATACAGGTTTTTACACATTTCATATTTCGCACAAGTTTGGATGATTATTATTTTGCATACTTTAATTTTAACGTACTAATATTTAAACAAAAAATGTGCAAGCCTGATACGTGATGCATCAACAATTGACAAACCAACATAATTTCTTACCTTGTACAGACGGAGCACTTTGTACAAGAAGATAAAAAAGAAAGGATAACACAAACCCTTTCAGATCGGCCATCCTTCAAACAGGACACCGGAATGGGTATGGGCATATAAACCTGACTGAATAATAACGACTTTAGTTTACTGCTGAACGTGGCACCCGTCTGCTGCCGACGAAAATGGTTCAATGAAGAAAGGAGGAAGTAGTTATGGCACTAAATTGCCTCTCCCATCAAGATGTTAAAAATAGCTATGACGCAAATACTTGAAATGTATGCTCGTATGTTGATTGAGACAGATTATTATGTATTATTACCCGTATCAGACATCTGAGCGGTGGTTTAACAAAATCATCATATGGCTCCGAATAGTCTCATTGGACAACACCCCTATCGTCAGAGTCCAGCCGTCTAACATGTTAGCCTATGGACTTTTAACAACAAACAAAATCGTTAAAAGCACATCCACCCCGACGTACGTTGACACTAGCTCTTTCATTGGAACCCTCATGTCCTATTGACTTTCGAAAGTTCACTCACCGTAATTTGATCAAAATAGGTCGCCAGCTCGTCATTGCCTATATAACACATGTGCAACGAGTCGAAGTTTGGACGCAATTTGCAACGCGATTGTAAGGTTATAGGTCAAGCACACGAAGGATAACAAGTACGAATTATCATAGATCAGTTCTGATCGGCTCATTATGTCCATTTAAGCCAACCCCCCACCGTATTTTTTTCCATTTAGTAAAGGCAAACATTTTGCCAAGTCAAGCCAAACATGAATATTCATGACACGCCATGGACTATTCGATAATTTACAGAGGGGTGCAATTGTGCACCACATCAAACTTCCCTACTTTCCGTCAAATAGTTCATTGTATTATGTAGTTCGGTAGGTTTATTTTAATAACTGTTTAATTATCAGATATCAATGATAGTTAAAGATATGGAAATATCTAGGCGTCGTGGCGTGCGCCTGTAATCCAGCTAACAGTGGAAGTTACCAACTGATTCAGCCGAGGACGCAAGTTCGAAACTGAGTCACGTCTTTCGGATGTTGACGTTAAAAGTCGGTCCCCAGATGTAAATAATCATATCTAATTGATACACATTTGTAAAAACCCAAATACACACACACACACATACAATTGTATTTATGTTAAGCAAAGCAATCTCACTTGTTGACACACTCACAATTATCACACCACACACACGAACACTCTCACTTCCCCTCCCCAACACACCATTTCCGCACACTCGGTTCACACGGTTCACACGGTTCACACAGTTTACACATCATACCCAATGGCCCTGAAACATAGTGGAACATTCTAGTTTGGTACGACGTCGAACTAGCTACGTTTGTGCGGGCAATTGGTCCAGCGAAAATGAGACAACCGGAGCAATATGATTGGCTACTCGTGAACTCATGTTGGCAAATACATAAATGAACTCATGAACTCATGAACTCATGTTGGCTACAGCGAACTTTCTAAAGCTGGTTTTCTTGAAGTCGAACAAAGATCAAAACAACTCGTCGTCGCGGTTGAAATCGAATCTAAAGTTATGAAATTGAAAATAATAATTCTTTATGTTGTATAGCCCCCTCTCAAGGTCAAAATATAAATTAAGATATTAAAAAAATATTTCTTGACTAAAATCGACCGATTTTAGTCATTCACATCTGGAAATTATACCTCACAACTACATATTCAAACGGACGTAGGCGCTATTTGAAATTTATCAACATTTACCGGGAGCACCGATTAATATTTATATTCAATTTTTCTCGAAAGCAGAAGTGTTTTAGGGGCTAAATTTTCTAGTGCTAATAATACATCCACAGGGGCATCCAAATATATCAAAATTGTAAAGAATCACTATCCACCCAATTTTCAAAATTTCCCAAAATTTTGCATTACCTTTAAGTATGATATCAATTGCATATTCTCCAAATATATCTGTTAAACACACAAACAAATAAAAGTGCTTAGATGCCTCGTCCATAAACTGTACTATTTTTGGGGTTCTTCTACGTTTCATTTTCTTTCTTATTTTCTTTAATTTTAACTTGTAGGATCCAATAGCTCTCGCGAAGCAAGGAATTAAATCCGTGACAAGTTTCTGGCGTTAAACAGGTTCAAACATCGTCAAATTTATCACCATTTCATCGTAGCAAGCGACACAGAGAATATTTAATTCGTGTTCGATTCTTGCGCAGACGTTATCGTAAAAGGTTCTCTCGAATCCATCGGGATGTTGTAAAGACATGGGAGAATTGCATCGATTCTTACTGGTTGTGTCTTGGATATGAATGCATCTGTGACTTCTCTACATTCTTGAAGTGGCCAAATGGTTCGTCTACATCAATCATTTGATGCCCACTTTCTGTTGAATTTGCAGGGGGGGTCAGAGTACCAAAGTTTTCCTTATACGAGGAAAATAGAAAGAGATCTGGGATGTATTATCAATCGGGTCATTTAAGGGTTTCTCGAGGGGCTGGTGGAAATTTCAGATTTTTTTTGTCGAAGGGCAAGTTATTAAAAAGATGAGATATAAAGGCAACTCAGGCAATCTAGGGACTGAAACGGTATAAGAAACATGGACGATCGTACCGATATTCCAGCCCTTCCCGTTCATATGGCAGAGATTTTATTTTTAACATTTTCTATTAAGGTAGGGAATTTATGAGAAAAAAATGTAAAAACACTGCATACTCGAGGATTTGTACTACCAATGGATTGCTTTGGCCTGAAAACAAATTTAAAAAAGAAGAAGACCTTCATCGGAAAGGAATAATAAAATGATAACACGACGAAGGCATCGATGTGTATATATCACTTTGCATTTAGTGCTTCAATGCTTAGATTGCATTTGGATTTTATACTGTTTTTAAACTGTTTTTTTCTAACTAAAGCATATTAGTGAATTTGAATAATAAAGCAACTTATTTCAGCTAGCGCAAAGTGGATGATAGGTCGCCTAGATTCTAAGGGCAACAGCTCTATACAAGAAGCCATTAGTGAAAATGTATTGAGCAGCAAAAGCTAGACGGGATGATTTTATTCAAATTGCAGTAGGCAATTGAAAGCAGAAGAACTAAGTAAACTAGTTCAAAGAGACGAAGAATGTAAAGGTAGGTATAACACCAAAGGGTGGTAAGAAATGTTATGAAGTTTGGAAACATCCATATTTGAAAGAATCATGCAAACCTTTATATTGATAAGGTAGCCATACAACAAGTCAAAACTTTATTTTATTTAGGTTTTAACATAGATGTTGACATGAAATGGAAAAGTTATGTCGCAGAACATCGAAGTCAATCTTTAGGGATATTAGCGTCCTATTAGATTAAGAGAATTTATTCCGCGTAATAATATTATTGTTGTTGTCTTCTTGACATCTTATTGAAATAACATATTTGAATTGTTAGGATTACTACAAATTCCGATTTCCTGAGTTATTCCACGCCTCTCTTTAAGAAACTTAATGTCGTCTACGTGCATAACTTCAATAACTATAATTTAGGTATTTTTACATGTTTTTGTATGATGATAAACTCTTACCCAAAGTATTCAACTAATTGCATAATTATAATAATGGAGGGAGATTTGAATATCGAGTTGATTATGGTTGTACATACATATCTAGATCTTTAATAACATGCAAGGGGCCCATTTTTTAAAGAATAATATACCTCAACACATCAAGAACACTAATTCTTTAAACTCTTTCAAACGTACATTTAAAGAGTATTTATTGCTAAATGTATTGAATATTTAGATATACAAATATTAAGTTATAACAAGTTTGAATATGGTCTTTAATTAAGAATTCTCTATGCTATATGTTTTCAATATTGTATATTTTCTGCCCTTATGATGCATATTTTGTTTTTGTATTAATGGGATCATGTTTACAAGTTATACTAAACTTGTAATGATCAAATCGCATTTATTTTAATTAAATATTGTCTTCTTTGTATATTTGCTTGTACCATATTATTGCTGTTACGTATATTTTGTCATGCTTTATACACGATTCTAAGATGGAGATATGGAAATAAATAAAATGTAACATTCTAAAGAGTTCCACGTTTTATCGACTTATTAAATCGTGATAAATCTCATAGACGTTGCTAGAGGGGGAGGGATAAGTGACATCCCAAGTCTATGATTTCTTTAGCAAATTTGTATTTTCGAGAATACTTTCATGCCTCCGCAACCATAGAAAGTGCCAGAGGCATTATGTTTTCGGGTTGTCCGTCCGTCCATCCTTCATGCTTTTCGTTACCGCGATAATCCGAGAGCCATTGAGCGGATTTAAACTTAGCTTGGATGAAGAGTGTATGAGCATGCAAGAATGAACTGATAGATTTAAGAAGAAATCAATGGTCACCAGGTCATAACCATGTTTGAAATTACCAGAAAATAACTCGTTCCCTAGATAACTTGAAAAGCATTCAAGCGATTCAAACCAAACTTGGATGAATTGTGTATGAGTATGCAAGGATGAATTTATTCGAATTTCGGATGTAAAAGGTCAAAGGTGTCAGGCTCTTACAAGTCTTTAAAATGCCAGGGAAAGGAAAATATGCATTTAATACAAAGGAAAACGGGCACCTATCAGATTAAAATAGAGGAACTTATCAGAATTAAAAAGGAGCACTTATTAGAAAGAAAAAGGAGCATTTATGTGAAGTAAAAAGGGTCACTCATTAGAGGTGAAAAGAATCACTTATGGAAAGGAGGAAGGGGCACTTATTATAAAGAGAAAGGGGCACTTATCTGTAGTAGAAAGGGGCACTTCCTCACATAAATAAGATTTTGGGGTACTCGAAAAAGTGGAGGGAGAGCTGCCAGTACATTCACAACACAACCTCCCTTACTTAAATACTGTTATACTCGCCTATACAGTGCGTCCCAGAAAAAAACGAAACCGAGAATTAAGAGTTAAGTCTTTTGTCAATTTTGCTTGTTGCTACGGCAGGCGGCCAGTGAAAACGAACTTTTAAAATCAAATTATGGAAATGCAAGCATCACTTTAAATATACAGAACTCTGTTATTCTTTGCTCATTTTTTCTGATTTAGGTGTCATATGAAAGGGTAAAAACTGACTTTTTAGAAATGAGCTTTTCTCTTTAAAATTCAGATACCGTCCGCCAAATGACTTTTTGGTTTCCTCTCTTCAAATTGATTTTAATCACTCATGCGTGAAATATGCATCATATAAGTTGCATTAAATGAAAG